CCCCCCAATTATAGACTTTCCGGCGTCCCTGCTGATCCTGGTCACGGCACCAAACTGTAGTATAGAACGACGTATAAACACTCCTTTAATTAAATTAATCTATATTTCTTTTTACAAATTTTATCTCTTACACAAAACACTGATCAACAACGACGTCCTTGCGCCCACGGTCTATATATCATGTACGCTACTTCATGTCACTACGCGTATAAATCATGCATATTACAACATAGCCCGCGTGCAGGCCCAAGGGAACTGATAGTGGGCCAATCTCGTTCCCAGAGTATGCCTGTTCGCGGATTAGGTAGTGCCACTACCTAACCCGCGAACAGGCATACTCTGGGAACGAGATTGATAGTGGGCCTGCAAGCAAGGCCCGGTATTTTGTAAAACGCCCCTTTTCATAACACGCCCCATTCGCGCGTCAATTGTCAAAAAAGAACCAATGACAGCACCCAAATATTAACAAACAAACTGGCATTAAAATGTTGCGGGGTTTTCTCTGCTTATTCAGAACATAAACAATGTCTAAATGCCGTCAAATGCAACGCCGTCAGTAATTGACAAATTTGCCGGTGCTCATTTTCAACTAAAATCGGAACAGGCAAATTAAGACGAATTTCAACAGAAAACCAGTCTCAAACTTCAAATCGTGAGGGAAGTCGTGCGACCACATCAGCATTTATATTATGTGTGCAGTGTGCTTCGCTGTCGCCATTGTTATAAATAAATTGTCTCACTTATCAGATCGTGTGTGCAATTCTTGTTGGCGGCGGAAAGTACGAAATTTATTTTAGTTATTTCATTTGGTAAATAACTCTACAAAAGAAGAGAGCGTTCAGAGTCCAGATCGTTTCGTTTCAAACGGCAATTTAATACCGTCTTCTGTTTCGCTCTCTTAGCGAAGCCTTGTAAGTCGCAAAGTGTTTCGAATAGGCTTACATGCAACTGAATCTCAACATCAAGTTATCAACCAAACGATCATTTTCTTGGGGAACATATAACGTATCAAGTCTGTTTGAAGTTAATGAAACTCAAGTAAAGGTTACTAGAGTTTACCCCAGTCGTAATGTTGATATTCCAACACCTTACGACATATGAATCCCCATTGGCTCGCCCATTGGCATAACGGCAAAAACATCTCTTCCTTCAAGTAAACAATAAACAGTCTGTTCTTGTTCATTTGTAATCGAAAAAAGTGATCAATTTTCGAATTTTAAGCTTATCGAGAGCCTTTGTCTATGCCTTTGTGATGAATCACTGACCTAATTATAGAATCCAACAGCAAACAGCCAATCAGAATGCCGCGTTCGTGGGCGAACGCGGAAAGTACAAAATACCGGGCCTTGCTTGCAGGCCCACTATCAAGTTCCCTTGAGCCTGCTCCCTTGGGTCTGCACGCGGGCTAATTACAACATGAACCAAATTCGAATTCACGCACGAATTGTGGAAATTGCCGAGAACTACAAAAATGGCGCCAATATTTGTGTTTTCACGCAATCCGAAAATTGAGGTTTCTACGGCATTTACGGTTGTGAAAAACACGCGAGTTTTGATTTCGACATTTGAAATCTGGCGATTTTATAGGACGGCAACGCGACGACGATGGGGTTGGCACTCGAAGCTCTAGGAAGATGTTCTGTGAATGGTTGATTATGACAATGACAAAAGAATAAGCTATAGAATGGATTTTCTAAAGAACAAAGCAACAACAATATATTCCTTTTGTTTATGTAAGCCAATTACGTCTTTTGTCATTGTCATTATCAACCAGAAACAGAACATCTTCCTAGAGCTTCGTCGGTTTACTGGTGAACACAAATAGTAAACAGAAAACGCCCGTATCCGTACGCGTTTGTCTTTTACGTGTACACCATGGTTTACCGCGAGGAAACGGGTAGAAATTACGGGTGTAGGAATAAACAAGATGGCGATACTCGCACCCGTAAACCGGAACTGGAGTATTTTAGCCCCTCTAATGTTTTGTAACATCACGCTAACAGAATGTCTAAAGTTCTACAATATTTAATTATTTCAGTACGAGTCTAAACAATCCATGATATAATATGCCACTGGAGAACATTAATATAATCGGAGAGAACTCATGATTTCGAGACTCGAGTTTTGTTAATTTTACACTAAGCAACACTGATTGCAACAAGACTATTTATTGACAAACGGACTTACAACTAGTTGAGTTGTACTTTGTAAATCAAGCACACAATTCATGCACCTGCGACAATGTAGGCAAGTTCTGTGCTTGATTTACACAGCACAACTCAAGTTGTAAGCAGGTTGCATGCGACATTTTTAGGCGAAAGTTGTGTGGTCTAGATCTACACTGTTACTGGATGATAAAACATTATAACTTACATGTATATTTATACCTATATCAACAGGTATTCAGTTGAAAGTTCTCAGAACGCTTCGTATTCCTGGCTTTGCGTCTTCTCAGCTTTCCTCCAAAATATTAAGTTCAAAGCGTCTATAATAAGTTACAATTTCATGTTGTGACCCAGGCTGAGAGAGCAGCGACAGCGTGCAGCACAAATCTATAATTATTGAAACTTTCCTCATTGATATTCGACAATACGGTTGAGTGGTTGACCAAATGATGCGCATCAGCATTTCAAACGAGTTTCTAGACCATAACTTGACTGGTCTATTTTTAGTCTAGCCAAAGCTAAACGCTTGAATGTATATTAACCTACTTCTAAAATTTAGAAGGAACGGATTGGAAAGGAGTAACTTTGAATTTTCGTTAAAAACAATAAAGTGTTTATTATTATCAGTTACATATAATGTTCAACCAAACATATTGGAGTGACCTTTATATTGTGTAGTCAGCCAATAAACGAATGCAGGGAACTAATTGTAACTCACTAACTCACATGACGTAAATTGTTTGTAATTTGTTTGAAAACGTTGAAGTTTATGTCCACAATGATTTGCAGAAGATTCTACTCAATATTCCAAGGCTTCATGCCAACCATCGACTTTATTGAGTAACTAAGAAGCTTAGTTAATATTCAACTAGGGGAAAGTTTTATTTATTCATTTCAAGGACTACTTCAAGTGCGTGTAGTTTGGTTTGCTGTTTACAAAGAAGCGGAACGATGTATACACATATATGCAGTGTGTCCCGAAAAATGTATACCTTTTGAAATCAAGCCTTTGCTGGAATTTGAATTCAGAGACCATACGATTTTACTAACGGCAACGCGACCACGACGGCCAAAACAAACTCCTTCAAATAAATGGTGGTAAATATAATTCGTGGCCGGTATATTATCAATCGTCTGAATTTAATATAGTCTTAGAAGTTGAAGACATTAATAGGTTTTATGTATGGGAAGAGTTCTGCTGAACCCAGTTTGAAGTTGCACTTGTTGCGGCCTGAAATGCAGCCGTTGTATCAAGACGTGAAAATCTGTGATTTGGCGTTGTAAACAGAGCGAGGACAATGTCTAAATTATGATTGAAAATGTATCACTTTGTTCGGCTGTTCCAAGCCGACACTTTTAAGATACAAGGTCCGATCATATCATGTTCTCCGAAGCATCTGCTCAAAACAGTCCAACATAAATATCGCCACTCATCTTCTGCGTATGAAAATATAAGTTTTCCTTTCAATTGCTTTGCTTTAAAAACAGTCATTAGGTTGTTGAAGAGTTAGTCTATAACTTCCAACAGAAAAATCCCAGATGCTTTCAAAAACCAGTGAATCACAATGCTGTAAACTTCAACATCCTTAGAAATTGTACGCCAAACATCGAAAAGCAAAATTGGCGGGAAAAAGCTCACGAGCCCGCACTATTTTTATGCAGCGTCGACGAAAGTCCCCTCTGTTTCTTTAAGTGCGTTCCTTTCCCTGCGTGTAAATAGCCGGGGGGATTAGTATCCTCGCCCCGGGCTTACGCCCGGAACGGCGCTCCGCGCCGTTGGCTCGGGGATAAAAACATACCTAGCATATATATGTATGGGAAATTGATAATTTTGTTATTAAAAGTGATATTTGGGGGGATTTTTCAATTTTAAAACTATTCTTAAAATTATATTATCGCGTTACCACGACAACTACTTTCAATTCTTCATATTCAGAAAACGTAATGTTTTGTCAGTAAGGCGAGGGTTTCTGCATCCATGTATTTTCTAGTATAGAGAAAAATTGGCGGGAAAAAGCTCACGAGCCCGCACTATTTTTATGCAGCGTCGACGAAAGTCCCCTCTGTTTCTTTAAGTGCCTTCCTTTCCCTGGGTGTAAATAGCCGGGGGGATTAGTATCCTCGCCCCGGGCTTACGCCCGGAATACCAGATTTATTGAGAGTGAGCACAGAGAAGGAGTCGAGATATCATGTTCAACACGAGAAATAAATCTAGTATATTTCCGAGCATCCATGTATTTTTCACCCTGCTCGGTTTCCTTTGTTCTTGTCGGGGAATATATTCAATATTCCCCTCTAATCAATTTCCGTTTAATAATCCCCTCTAATATTCACCTACAATTAATAATCCCCTCTAATATTCACCTGCAGTGTCTTTGCAGCACAAAAAATGAGAAAAAACAACATCGCAAAAGCAATATGGCATTGAGAATTATTTCTTTTCTGACTCATTAACGCGACCTCGCAGTGTGAAAAA